AAACAAATTCTTCTGAAATTTTGGTCTTCTAATGCATTATTAAGGAATTCAGATAAGAGGCAAAAAATGCTGCCCAACTTTTGAAGTCTGAAGAGGGTTCATAAGTTAATATTTTATTGTGATTTAATCTACAATAATAAAGTTGCTTTTGCCTTCAGGCACTTACAAGCACCAACAGAAATGCAGACCCCCAACGACTGACACTGGAGTCAACTTTTCATGATAAATAGGAATTATTTATGATTATGATATTGTTATGTTTGACTTACAAAGTATATAGACACTAGCCAGGTCTAACAGAAAGATAACAAAGGTTTGGTATGACACTTAATTGAATGCACACTTTGGAGCCTCTATTTTCCCACTGAAATTATTTGTACAAATAAATCTTGATTATGACTGGATTTACACCCACTACTAGAAACCCATCCAGATAGCTTCTTTCTTCTATTTTCTTTCCTTTATTTATTTTTAAGTACTGAATTGTTTCAGCTATTTCAAACAAAAGAAAGTAACTGCTTTTAATTAAAACACTGCTTGGATACAAAATGTTTAACTCTTATAAAACTGACTGGAAAAGACTATTGCAATATAGAGACTATTCCTTTGTTTCTAGCTCTTGTGATATTCTCACAAGGTGGTCATACTTGACATTTTTCTTGAAAACTAAAGTTCTGCACATTGTTTAGTATTTTAACAACATCAATTTTCCTTAAAAACAAAAAATACATAGTACTCATGTTAGATGAGCAGAATTTGAAAATTTGACCTAACGTGTACCTTAAAAGATGACAAAGCCAGAAGATAGTGGAGACAAACCAGCACTCTTTTTTTTATTTTTTAATCATTATTTTGAGGCTATCCCATGTTTTATGAGACCTGATTCATGACATTGGAATGTCTGGGTTTGGCCATATTGCCTGCATTGTACAACTTTAAATGATCTCAGCATCCATGAGCAGGTCACTACCTTTTAGTCTGCTGCTGTCCTTAAAACAAGCAGTTAACAACAACAAGAAAAAATTTAAAATAAATCCTCATGCTCAAAGAAAAATTGGATCCTGCAGGCAAATATGATTGTGATGGGGAAAATACCCTGTTTATGTAGGCAAGATGGTCCTGAATACACTTGGCCACTTGTGAGTAGGGTGCAAGGACTACTGCCATGGTGTGGGAGCTGGAGAAGTATGTACAGAGTAGCACTGTCCTGAGAGAGGCAGTTCTTCTTTGGACTACTGCAAAATACCCTGGATGCGGAACAGATTTGACACAAGGGTTAAAAAAACATCACATATTCCATCACACAATGAAGTGTCCATATCTTGCTGTCTCTTGGAAAAAGCTTTTTAATTAGGAAGGGCCAAAGTAAAGTCTGGAAACTGCAAGATGTTTCTTTCTCTGCCTCCTTCTGTACCTTGCGCTCCTGTTCTTCTGTACCTCACCCCTGGCAACCATCTAGGGATGACTGACAACACAGCTGACAGTTCTGAAAGTTAAACTGATATTAAACTGAAATAAATCTGATGTCCATTGGTTTAGAGGTCTGCATTTGGAAACAGACTTAGAAATGAACGGTAACTGCAACTATCCCCTCTATTCATTTTACTATTATTCTGGTTTGTTGTAAAGAATTAGCTAGACTCTGAGACATGACACATTATCTAATTCTTATGTGCCATCCTTTAAAATACCGATGCTTGCCCACCTCACATCTGTCATCAATGGAAGTTCTCTCTATAGAAAACAGACAGATCTGTTGCACCTCCGAAAGAGCAGAGCTCTCATGTCCATTACTGTTCAAGGAGATTTCCTTGCACATTCACATCCAAATCAATTCTTTATCTGTGGTTTGGTAATTTTCTCATCTTGTTAGAGCCTGGAGAAGAAAGGAGGAAGAAAAAAAACCAAGAAAAAAGAGAGAAAAAGAAAAAAAAAGAATAAAGAAAAAGAAGAAAAAGACATAAGGAAAAAAATTTACAGTGGTCTTCCTGCTTGAGCTAGCAATGTGGTTATAGAGCATTTAAAAGTTAAGTTAAAACAAGGAATTGTGGATATGCATATCCATATTTAGATGAAATGATTCTCTAATATACCAGTCCAGAAGATTTTGTGAAAGCTATTCCTATTTATTGCTGTGATGTCATGAAAAACCTCACAACATAGAAAATGGTCCATAAATTGGAAAAAAGAAAAGGACAAGTAATAGGTCTCGGAGAGCGAGCTGAATAAGGCAGGCCCTCATGGTGTTGAAAAAACCTTGAGATTGCTGCATCTTTGTCTTGTGCCGAGGGAGAAGACATTGGTAACAGGCTCTCTCCTTACACTCCAGAAACTGTTGGCTTTAACCCGTAAATCCAAGTGATCACCCTAATCACTGAGTTTTGGTTACCACATGGTTGCAGAAATATACCTTCACAAAGAAGTTTGCTTCTAGAAAGTGCTCAAATATTATTTATTTCAAGATATGACCATATATATTGTATTATCTCTCCCCTTAAAATTAGATATAGATGTCTAGGTCAATTAGCTGTGCATTTTTAAAAAAAAATAATTTTACATTTGTGTTACTGATTTCTTGTCATTATAGAGCTTTGCACATCATCTGCCTTGTATTACCTGGTTTTTGTTTCATGGCAATTGTAGTTACACTGAGCTGATACAGAAATTTTGCTGTATTAGGATAGTAAAAGTTGTTATTTTCAACAGAAACAGGGAAATCTGAACAAACTTGGAGCTTTCAGCTAGTATCTCCTCTTCAGCTTTCCAGTTTTAATCTCATTACTGAAAAAAATTAATGTTTAATGTGAAGTAAGTGGTTCTGGACTACAGCTAAGTGCTGATCTTCTGGTTTGCAGATGATGTATACTTGTTAGCGATTTCAAAAGAAAAAAAAAATCCAATTTTCCATATGAAGGTAATGCTTTGTGAGAATACAGTTTATTAGTTCTAAATTTATTGTTACATTGATTAACTGGGTTTTGAGCATACATTTTCTCTTAATTGGTCATTATTGTCTTGAATGATGAACTACTTAATCTAAGATAGGAATGGGGCACTTATTCTTCTCACTCATTCCACCATCTTAGCCCTTCCTCCTGCTCACAGTGTGTAGTTTCCTGCGTGTGCAGCAAGGCAAGGAAAAGCAAACCCATCCCTGCTATGTCTACTCTCAAATGATGTGGCATCAAGAGATGACCCCTGTTTGGACCTTTGGTAGGGAAGCAGCATAGCTGGGCACAAAGCTGAAAACTGTTGCTGATTTGAGTGTGGTCTGGGTTGCAACTCAGGCTACAACTCTTCTTGGATCCCAGTAACAGCATCCATGCATACTCTGCTGAACAAACCCTTAAATGGAAAGAAAAAGAAGCAAAACCAAGTCCATATAGTCTGTTTATATAGCCCTAGAGATTCAGATAAAGAAAAACAAACATAACCTTTTCAGCTGTTCCTCACAAGGGAAAAAGAAAATGAAACATTTGATTATAATTGTTTTAATGAGCTTTGATTCAAAATGAAGTCATAATGGTCTGGTTAAAAAATATTCTGCTAATGAGCTTACATTTCTATCAAAGCATGCAAGCTGCAAAATTCTCTGAGGATAAAATTAAATAGCAAGAAATATTTATTTGCTGATTAATAAAATCCTGCTAATTCTTTGAAAAAAAAAAAAAATTAGTAACAGTAGTAACAGTAGCAGCAATAGTGATGGCAGTGAGATTGGTTGGAGCACAGTAATTATAATCTAACTGGATGGTCTATTTTAGGTTGCACCTTGAAGTTAGAGAACTGATAACAAGCATACCTACTCCTTCAGGTCTAAAATCCGATCTTAGCCATGCAAAACCCAGACTTGACTGTAGGTCACCTTTAAATATTGTGATTGTCTTTCCATTAATTTATTTTTTATTTTAAACTTCTGTTTTTAAGAAAGACGTATAGGATACCTACAGCAGTATCTGTTGCAAAAAAAAAAAAAAAAAGAAAAAATGAAAAGGAGACATGGAAGTTACTAACTAGGGGAAGCAGTGTGTACTACAAGTGAACAGCACTAGTTCTGATTACTGTGCAGTTAGAAGAAAGTGCTCCTGTATACTTTACATTTTATGGCATTATACAGTCTGGAATGTACTTTTCCGTATTACATAATCTAGTCATTAACAAAGCTGCCTCCATTAATGTTTCCCTGTTCATGTGCTGCAGGGGCTAATAAGATATGAGAATGCAGGAATATATTTAATTCTGACTCAGACTATTTTTATTCTGATTCAAATCTAATTCTTTCAAAATCTGGATACATATTCCTCCCTTAGATGTCCATGTCAAGATATTTCTGAGCATTGTCTTATGCAGCCCATTACCTATTCAGAGCAACCACTTATTCTCATGTTGGCTAATTTGACTAATCAGGCTTTGGTTAAACAATGTGACTTGTCTCATGTAAAGAGACAGCTACAGTCTGTTATGTTTGTAGTTTCTGTTTCAAAAGGAAAACAAAAAAACCAACATTAGCAGAAAGGATTTCAAGACCAACTCTTAATTACATTAAAAAATAAAATTCAATTAGTGAAATGCAAGGAGAAAGCAAAATTATATTCAGGGCTCTATGAACACAGTAATGTTACAGAGGTATTAGCTGTAAACACACAAGGATGGCTGGATTACGCAGATAGAAGACACCTAGGAAACCTTATGTAATGGGACAAAGTATTAAATTTACTTTCATTTGATCCTGAAAGCCATAGTTAAAAGGAGGTTACCATGTTACAAATGTGGGTGTGTTGATTTGGCACTTGGTAGTGGGGGGACAGCCACAGAAGTAGTCTTCTGTGAGAAGCTGCTAGAAGATTCCTCCAGGCCCAACCAATCACCAGTCTGATGGCTCTGAAGATGGACATGTTGCTGGCCCAATTAGAGAGGCTGGTAATAGCTTTGTGAGGCTATATTTAAGATGACAATCAAAACAGTGCATGCAGTTTTTTTCTGGGCACTGTTGCTGGGGCCTTCCCAGTACGGCCTGTGGTGATCCACCGCAGCGGCCGCCACCATCTTGGCACAGCCCGCGGCCAGCCCTGCCTGCCTGGCTGCCCCTAGCCGTGCCACGGGCAGGGGTGGCAGGAGGGTGGCAGCTTCCCCTTCCCAGTGCCCTTCATGGAGAGAGGCATTGAACAGCAACAGTGACGCAGTGGCTGCCACTGCCCGAGCAATGGTGGTGGGGCCACCTGGCTGGCGGTGGAAACATAGCGATAGATTCCCCAACACAGAACATAGACAAGATCATCTTCTCAGGGCTGAAGGATCCTGCAAGAATATTTAAGTTAGTAGGATTTGTTGGCAGTGGTACCTACATGCAGCAATTTTTCTTCTACATGGAGAAGAGAGGGAGGACGTGTGAGGAAGACAGCATGGTGGCACTAAGGTCAGTGGAGGAGGAGGGGGAGGAAGGCTCCAAGCATCAGAGCTGAGATTCCTCTGCAGGCTGTGGTGAGGACTATGGTGAAACAAACTGGCCCCCTCTAATGCATGAAGTCCATGAGGGATGCAGAGATCCACTCTCAGCCCGTGGGAAAAGTGCTCGTGCTGGAGCGGGTGGATGCTGGCGAAAGCTGTGATCTAGTGGGAGAACTGGAGAGAGAGAGCTCCTGCTTCCAGAGAGAGGGAGAGAGGGCCCTTGCTTCCAAACTGGAGCAGCCTGTCCTTAGAAGACTGCACCCCATGGATGTGACCCACAATGCAGCAGTTTTGGGAAGACTGCCCATGGGAAAGACTCACGTTGTTTTGGCAGGACTTCTGCTCATGAATATAGAGCCATGCCGCAGAAGTTCATGGGGAACTGTCTGCTATGGAAGGAACCCCACAGCATAGCAGAGGAAAGACTCCTCTTTCTGAGCAAACAGAAGATCTCGAGTGATGAACTGACCAAAACCCCCACATCCTGTCTCCCTGAGCTGTCAGTGGGAAAGAGGGAGGGGCTAGGGGAAGCAAAAGTGCTTCAAAGGCTTATTTTACTTCTCATTATCCTCCTATGATAATAATAAATTTGCTTTATACCTTTACAGTTGAATCTGTTTTGCCTCCTTAGAGTGTTTCTCCCAGTCCTCATCTCAACTCATGAATCCTTCCTTTTTTTCCCCTCTCTTCTGCCCATCTGAGAGCAAGAAAGGGTGAGTGAGCCACTTTCATGTGTGCCTAGCATTTGTCCAGTGTCAAACTCACTAAAATGGGTCTGTTGTTTTTGCTTTAAATTTCTTTCCCAAGATGTATTTCTTTATTGATATATATGCATAGATTTACAACAAGAATTACCTACAGCAAAGAAACTGATGCTGGACCTTAGGGCTGATATAGGACCGTCTTTGTTCTAGGCTTCTAAAGAGAAAAGGCATTTGCAGGTAAGCTTTTTGACAAGCTGCTGAGCTTAACTGTCCCTTAATTACCATATTTTGCAGTGTCTTTTCCTGTCTGCTCCTTTCCAGAGAGGATCTCTGGGGTATTTTTGGTTTTTTTTACTTTTTGTGTGTGCATCCATATCACCTTCAACATTTTCTTCTTCCCTCCACCCCAGAATGTGTTGTCCAGACTATTTCTGCCCCCATCTTTAACCATTATTTAAAATAAATCACAAATGGCTTCAAGAATGGTAATTCTATTTAGGAATGGATAGAATTTCACAAGCTTAAATCCTGAAAGTTACACAAAACGGTCTTTAAACTTCTTGTTGCCATGGTTACATACTTCTGCAGCTCAGATGAGGATGGGGGCCAATTATCAAGTTTTGTTTGCTTGATTTTAAGTCGTTTGTTACCTGGATACTCAATAAATAAGAAATCTGAAAAAAAGACTTGTTTTCTTCTCCCTTAACTGAGGGAAAGAAAAAAGTCATACCTACATGTTAAAAAAATCCAGCAAAATTCAGCTTCTTAGTTATGGGGTGAAAGTACTTCTGAACTGATTGTTTTAGGGAGGCTTGGTGAGAGGCCTGCAAATAGATGTTGCACGAGCAACATAACGTGAATTGTGGAAAAAGCAATTGGTCCCATAACATAACTATAAATCATGGATAGGTGGAGAGCCAGGGTTAAATTACACTGGTTTTCATCATTATTTAGACAATAAGAGTGTTCTTCTGTGGGGATAATTTGGCACCTATAATGATGAAAGAAAAGATCCTTTCTTTTGGGTTGAGGTACAGTGGTTATTAACTGGTGTCACTGCTTCTCCTGCTTCTTAAAGATGTCCAGAGCACGTTGTGTATGGTATTCTGTGCTTGATCAGAAGCTTTGCTAACAAGATGAAGGCAGAAGAGTGAAGTTGGATGGAGAAAGCAACTCAAAAGAAGACCAAGTTAAAATACTATTCTGTCAGTATCCCTAATAATTCCTGTGGGCAATGACAGAACAGTATTTTAATTTTCATCTGGGTTCCTTTTTACTCATTCATTCAATCTCTTGCTTATTGAAGTTATATATCTTGTTTTTGAAGTTTCAGATTGAGCTTAAAGATATGAATGCATTGCCATAATAAATTTATAAGTGGATATTTAAAGAGCAAAGATTTAAATGACACAAATGAACTCAGTGTAGCAGAACTCAAGAGAGGATTTGCAGAGATGCCACTGCAGTCAAAAATGACTGCTAGAACTTCCCTAATTTAAAAAAAAAAAAAAAAAGACAAACCACCAGCCTGGAATGCAATGGGCACAGAAGGTGTTTCATATAAATTCAGGCTTAACTTGAAACTATTGATACTATTTTAATTAATTGTTTAGGAAGTTACAACTAGCAAAAAAGAGTGCCTAGTTTAAATAAGATTCTTGAAATGTAAGCTACATTGTAGTTGGAACATTGAAAAACTAATATCTTCGAAAAAGAACACATATTTTTAAAATGCACCTAAAATTTGAATTGGTTTTCCTTCCCTATTTCACCAAGTATTTTCCCAAATGACATGAAAAAGTATGTTTAGACTGCATGGCCTTCATATTCGCTGTTGTTTTTTTTCTTACTTAATAGGACACATCTGTCTTAACAAAGCAAGGATCTGACATTTTACAGTAAAATCCTTTGGTTCTTCCTTTCTCAAATGAAAGATGGTCTTCTTAAGGAATATCTAGTTTGCAATTTGCTTAAATTACAAAGGAGAATCAAAGAACGTAATTTTCCTTTGTAAATGAAATGAAATTGATAGTGACCAAGAAGGCTACTAGTACAAGGCAAAACTCTGCATACGCCATGTGAGCAAGTCAGTGAAAATGCGATAAAAAACATATATGAGTGGTAGGATTTTGCAATTGCTATTTTTGTTCTGTAATCCTGACTGGCAATTTATTATAAAAATCACAAAAGTAAAAAATATTATCAGTTCTAGCCCTGTAATCTTCCTTTTAGATAGGTAGAAAATGTCAGACAGAAAATCTGCTGAAATGTTAATACAAATAATTGTAGTTTCTGACAGGTCATTTTTGGAAGCACAAGAGCCCTGCTAAGACATTTGGCGAAGGTGAGAAGGAAAAGGACTCCTGAAAGGGAGGCATAGGTACACAGGAAAGGGAAACAACCACACCAAACCTGAGGACACATAAAGTGTGTGGTCACTTTAGGGAACTTTTCTATGAGGTGCTCTCTCCAAAACATGAAATTTCCAGAAGGGTTAAGTCTTTCCCACTTTTACTTTCAGCTGTCTTGTGGAGCAGAGAGGTTTCTACTCACTGGTTCATGTCCCAGCAGAACCCATCTGATTAAGCTCATTGCAGTAAGAAATGCAATTTTTTTTCTTTTGGGCAACAATGACAGCAGGACTCAGAAACAGTTGATGAAGCACTGAGAAAGAAGAGGACAGGAATAGCTCCCCCAATAGTGACATGAGAGCAGACACACAGGAAGGACAGGACAGCTCTAGGGCAGTGCATGGCATCTCCATGAGTGAGAGCAACAGCGGTCATGGCCATGTCTGGCTGGCTGAGATATTTTTATGAGCCTTTCAGCTTTGTAACAGCTCTGGAAAGACAGGCAAGCTATGCTTTCAGGAGACTGGGGGAGGTATTAGAGAGTAACATGGAAATGGAACCCCAAAAGGGATTGCATCTTGGTGCGATGTTAAAATCTTCCATGGGAAAGCAGAATACAACACACATGGATATGCCTAGACGTACTCACATCTGCATACATACACATGCACAAGTAACTTGAGTGGGTGGCTGAGACTGAGAACCATAAGCACATTTATTTAATAAATTGATTCTTCCTGCAACTTCAGTGTGGACTTTTTCTTGTAAAAGATTTCATTGTTTTTCTCAGCTTAGCCTGCATTTGATCTGCTTTTTGCAGAGAAGGTGTAAGAAGAATATATGTTCAAATGCTACATTTGTAGAAAGGAGGGATGGAAGTATGAATCTTTCTTTCAGTTACATGGCCATTTTTCATGGTGAATGTTCTCTTTCACTTAAACAAGCAGACAAACTCATGCTGCTTGGTCAGGTGTTTGACTTTGCAAGGAGAGGCACTTGTGGACCTGAGTTACTTTTGCAAAGAAGGAAGAGCGAGAGTTTGCAGATCCTCGAAATCAGGAAGTTTGTCCACCTTCTGCCTAACTCAGGCTGGGTGGTGATAAACAGCCAGTGTGAGGTGAAGGGAAAAAGGGCAGACACCCAAATCCAGCAATGGCTTTTGTCTTTGGGCTGTCCTGGACAGGAATGGGAAGAAACCCCTGCTTCAGTCATGGAGGCTGCAGCTAAGATCCAGCTGTATGTTGTAGAGCAATTGCAGCGCATTCCTGGGGATTGCTGTGTTGGGCTGTGGGCAGGAGCCTCATGCCTAAATACCTTCTGTGGCTTGGCTGTTTCTTGGCTTATAGAATTTAGTCAGATCTTTGGCTTACTCTGGATTATGTTTACCTTTAAAGCTGGCTTGGACAGCACTAGTGGAGAAAAACAGATGTAACTTGTAATGGCATAAGAAGTCCAGTAACTCTCCAAATATGTAATTTTCTTAAAAAAAAATAACACCCCCCCCCCCCCTTTTTCATAAAACTGATTTTAGAAAAGACTATTT